TTCTGTAGTACCAGTCATAATATAGCTACTTTTATTCTAAATTTTCATAATTTATGCTTTTTTTCTTAATCAGTCTAGCTAAGGATTATTAATTTTGTCCATCTTTCCAAAGAACTAAATTTTATCAGTCAGTTTTCCCTACTGCTTTTCTTTCTCTGTATTTGCTTATACTTTCTCCTTCCTTGGAGCTTTTCTTGCTTTTATTTGCATAGTTCTTTTTGATTGATGAAAACTTGACATTTTAGGGGCTGGAGAGATCACCTGGCAGTTAGGAGCATTTGTCACTCTTCAGAGAGCAGAGCTTCAGTTCCCAGCACCTACATGGTGTCTTACAACCATCTGTAACTCCAGTTCCAGGGGATCTGGTGTGTCCAGGAACAAATGTGGTATACATACACTCATGTAGGTAAAACACTCATATACGTAAAATCAAAGAAATCAAAAATGCTGAATATATTAATTGCTGAATATAGAATCTGGAAATGGTATTTTTCCCCTTCTCCAAGATTTTCTTTGTGGTTATTTATTGAAGTATTATATGAAGTAATTTTCTAGCATCTGTATTGTTTTATCATGTGTGACTATTGAAGTTTGTTTCATTAGCACAGTCGGCAGTTTGTTATTGAAGAGATATTTTGCCAACATCTAGTACTAAAAAGGATCCCACCATTCCCACATAGGTTCTAAGAAGGCCAGGAATGCTTACCTTAACAAAGCCAGGAAATTAAAACCATGGCCTTAACCTTCACTTCACATTAGCTTGCACAGTAGTTCAAGGTCAAACAGTTTTCTCCAGTCTTTCCTGATCATGTGCAAAACACACATGGGACTTTCTAAAATTCCAAGAAAACATTAGAGATTTTTGCATATTTTTAAAGACATATCACTCCCCAACTTTATTTCTATGGTTTTTGCTTTGTTGTTTGATCAAGCTATTATCCTTTACCATAGAATGGGGAGGTGTATATATCTGTAAATATTTTTCACAAATTATCTCCTAGTTCCAGTAAAGCAAAATTAAAACAAGTCTTTTGACTTAGTTTGGGTTTCTATTGCTGTGAAGAGACACCATGACCACAACAACTCTAATAAAGAAAATATTTAATTGGGATGGCTTGCTTACAGTTTCAGAGGAGGTTCAGTCCATTATCATCATGGCAGGGGGTATGGTGGCATGCAGGCAGATGTGGTGCTGGCTACATCTTGGCTTGCAGAAAACAGGAAGTTGATTGAAACACTGTAGCTGGAGTTTTCCTGTGTCCCAGCCTGCTGGTGGTCAGGACAAATCTCTCTCACCCACCAGTCCTGTAGCCACTTGGACCCAAGTAAACACACAGAGGCTTATATTATTTATGAACTGTATGGCCATTTGCTCAAGCTTATTACTGACTAGCTCTTACCACTTAAATTAACCCATAATTCTTCTTTAGGTTTAACCATAAGGCTTGGTACCTTTTCCCAGTTCTGCCTTCACATCTTGCTTCTCATGGTGGCGGCTGGCAGCGTCTCTTGCCTCAGTCCTCCTCTTCCCAGAATTCTCCCTTTCTTTTTGTCCCGCTTATACTTCCTGCCTGGCTATTGGCCAATCAGCACTTTATTTATTAACCAATCAGAGCAACACATTCACAGCATACAGAAAGACATCACCAGCAAAACATTGATCAGTATCCGGAGCATAGGAAACATCAAAAGCCAGACCCCATAGTGACACACTTCCTCAAATAAAGCCATACCCACTCCAACAAAGCTACACCTCCTAATAGTGCCATTCCCTGTGAGATTATGGGGACCAATTACATTCATACTACCACAGCTTTTAAGAGGCTCTTCCAATGAACTCTTTGCTGGACTAAGGGCAGTTTGCAAATAGAATTTACTCTACATCTTCTTTACTGACACAGTGAATGTGGACTAGTGTTTCTAAGGCTATCATTGGTAGGAAGACCAAGGATAAAATCAACTGAAACACACAAAGATCAGTGTTCACCAAAAGTCAGACATTTTTTTCCTTAAATAGTTTCTGGGTTGCTATGAACTCCCTCTTAGTTTCCAATATTCTGAAAATCTTCTGACAGTTTTAATGAGCTAAAAAGGTTATTGTAGTTGTTTGGAGAGTCAGACTTTTAGAGTACCTTGCTGCCTCTGCTGTTTTCACTGGTATCAGTCTTCTGGAGAAAATTTTAATAAATAAAATGGTGTGCATTTCTGGTGGAAATGCAAATTTAATATAATATGTGTGATTAGAGCATGAGAAATTTTAATCTTATACTACAGACATAACTATTCTTAATATTTGGCTTATATGTAAGAAACTTGGTTATATAAATTGTATATTGGGATGTGATACTATTGAATATATATGTATATATATAATTTTCTTTATCTCTCATTGATATGTTTGTGATATCTGATTTATATGTTTATATAAATGTTATATAAACATTCTTATATGTAATGTTTTGGATAAGCATAAAGACTTTCTGTCAGATAGGATTAAATTGTTTTTAGCATGCATCAGAAACTTCTTTCTCATTCTCACACTCATGACAGTGATATGCAAAAACATTAAGTGCTATTTTCAATCCAAAATACCCTCATCTCTCTAGAAGACTTTTTTTTTAATTTGTGGATTCTTTTCATCTTTCCTTATTTCCCTGGTACTATTTCATATTTTTCATATATGTTTTTTGGCTACTTTCAAAAGTGTTTCCAGTTTTTATCCCATTACCTTTTATAATAATTACTTTCTGTAAACATATTCTTAATATGATTATGATTGATGCTAAGGGTCCAACTTACTGAGAGGTTTCAGGCTTAAGGTTCAAGGGGGACACTGAAACAGAATGTCCTTTGTGGTAAAAGGATTATGATAAGAGTTATTGTCGTAAAACCACAGTCAGACACAGAAGCATGGCAAGGACACTGAGGAGAGTTCAGGACCATGTGGCAGAGTTGGAGGGTGCATTCTTCCAGATTTGAAGGTGGATGTTATATGCAAAATGGTTGATGAATAGCTCATAGTATGTGTTTATAGCCAAGCTATCTCTGAATCTACTGTGAAGACTGGGAGGGCATTAATCCAGAAAAATATGTTATTCAGTTCTGGGGACCAACTTACTGTGGTTTTGATCAATGTTACAATTCAACCAAAATGAAAGAGTTTACAAAATGGCATAGCCTGGCTACCACTTAGGGCTTTTTTATACACACACAGAGCATACACTATGTGACAGACTTTGTAATATATGTTACATCCATCATGTGTGCTTATTTTGCATGTTTTTTCAGGTGGAAGAAAAGAGTTTTGCAGTCATAAAAATACACAGTCCACCAAAATCTCTTTTGCATAAGTATGATCTGTCTTTACTATTCCTTAAGGTCAATATCTTTCTTTCTTGAGATTTATTTTTCATTTTCCCAAGCACAGTAGCAAAAAATATTGTTTCTGTTTAAATATTTGCTGGTGTATCATACCATGAAATTTAATCATAGTCTGCATCAAAAACTGGAGAGAATCTCAACTCTCTCTCTCTCTCTCTCTCTCTCTCTCTCTCTGTGTGTGTGTGTGTGTGTGTGTGTTCTGAGACACAGATATGAAGTAGAGAATGGTAAAAGCATGCTAACATATTGTTATAGGTAATTGTCATCAGAAACAATTTATTTTTTACTTATATATTTATTAATAAAACAAAAGTAACACATATGCAATAGCAAATAAATATGTATTTACATGTATTAAATTTTCAACTGAAATAAAAAGGTTGTGTCTGAGGAAATAAGGAACAAAGGGAAATTGACAACCCAATACAAATCAGAGAAGACATTAAAATTTTAAATATGCTAAAACACCAATTAACATTAAACTCTGACAAGAGAATATAAAGATTAGAGAAATGTACAAACATGCAAATCCTCAAATAATTTTCCATATTTATTTTCTTAATAAATGAATAGAAACCCTCTGACTTGAGAAATGAAAAGGTTTTACTTCTTACTTTTTTCCATGTTTTTAATCTTTTGGCAACTGAGCTCTTGTTTCTTGAATGCTTACTACTGTGTAACATAATTCTATAATTATACTAACTGCGCCAATTAATTCTCCATATTTACATATGCCAAAAATAAATTCAAGGTGGAGTGAAAATAAGCTAATCCTCAGAAAATATGTAAAAGTTAAAGTATATATTTTTTACTTCTCAGGAGAAAAAGACAGATTTAAAAATGAAAAACAGGACTGGCTTTCTTATAAGAAAACAGAAAATTTGGAAGATGTATCATGCTACCTGTAACATAGGAAGGAAAAAATACATGCAGATATTATGCTAACACATTGTTAACAAGATACTATGAAGGAACAGAAGAACAAGATACTGTTAATTGCCCAGCAAGTAAGAACTCATAATCAATAATGTCAATAGTCAGCACATTTTTGAAGAGTTAGCTTTCTCATATACTAATGGCAGATGTATAAACTGACCAAGTCATGTTTTAGGACACTTTAGCAGTGTCTAACCATGCTTACATGCTTTCTGGTATTGATTCAGAAGAAAGTTGAAGTAGTAAAATTTGTGCTATAAAGTACTTGCAAATAAACTTGCCCAGGCAATATTAAGAAGAATTTAGCTAAAGGAGCACTGCCTCCAATATGAGTGGAAGGGAAGGAGTGTACTCATCTGGCCCTATTGAAAGCTTGCTATGAAAGTTTGTGCTAATGTTTGTTCACCAAGATTAGGTTCTATTCCGTAACAAAAGGTAACCCTGATTTACAAGCAGCCATTAGGTCCATCCCCATATCAAAGACAATATCAGCTCAAGGAAGGTGGCACTGTAGGGTCACAACCATCATTAAGTCCTCGTCTAATGTCTAATATTAAGTCCCTGGGCTCTTATCAGGTAAAGCATAATTCTGCCAGGTGAGCAAGATGACTCTGAGTAACAACTATTTAAAAAGAATAACACTGGTTTGCTTAAGATTCTGTCTCATCATGCTGAGCCCACTAATGATCAAAGCCAACCCTACTGAATTGAAGAAATTTATAGCTAAGAAGTTACCATTGAAGTTAAATGGTGGCAGACATATACAAAGAATCCTGTGGGTCTTTGATTCATTTATGAATCTTATAATTAATGAGTATATGGAAATGGCAACTAGTGGGCAGCAGAAGAACATTGGAATCGTGGTCATGTGAGGAAACAGCATCATCATGTTAGAAGCCTTGGAAAGAGTCTAAAAAAGGCTGTTGAGCATTAGAGTCTACATCCCTCCCCAAAGGGCCTATTTCAGTCTGGTGCAGAATTGGGCCATGCACATTTTCATATGAAACTTTTTGCTAAATAACTTTTATGATACTCAAAAAAGGAAATAATTCAGTCATCTTTCCTGTGTAACTCCCATCTGTCCAAGTAGTCAGACTTTAAGTCTCATGTCCCTGTTTAAATAGTTTGAAATGTAATTTGGGGTGGGGACCCATGAATATTTAAGGATAACAGAGTATTCAGAATGAATAAACCTGAGACTTCTATAAGGTGGTCAAGTTTTCTGTTCTAGACTGATTCCCCTTTGTTCATTAACCAGAACCAGTCATTCACTATTATTAAAGAGCTTTTTCTGCACAAGGATGATACCAATATACACACCAAACTGAATGGAGGAAAGAATATGAGGCCTCAACCCTATAGGCAACTCAACTTATAGGAAAGCTGGAAACAGGAGAGGTCGCTTTCACTAAGGAAGATCACCTTAATTGGTTACCCAATATCAAAAGGTTGGCCCTGAAAACCTACATACAGGTAGCATTACATGAACTGAACAGGTTATATTTGGGGATATATATTAGTGAGATACAACAATTAGTGAGAAATTTTAAGAAAAGCAAGAAGGTGTATACAGGAGTGTTTGGAGGGAGGAAGGGGAAGGGAAAAATGTTGTAATTAAATTATAATCTCAAAAATTACAAAAAGAGTTTCCTTTACTAATCTCTAACTACTTGGAGTGATTTCTCTCTGGGCAGGCTAACTAATTCTCTAACAGTGTTTACCCAAGAGAAATGAAACACCATATAAATGCACAAAGAGGCTTCTAAATAAAGGTTATGCACTACATTTATTTCATAATAATCATAAAAATTAGAAACCATCCAAATGATCATCAATAAGATAATAATGATGTAACTATAACACTCAGGAGGATAAGGAAGGAGGATTGTGAATTTGAGGCCAGCTTGAGCTATATAGCAAGAATCTGCTTCCAAAATAATGGGGGCTGAGGAGTTGGTTCAGTGGTTAAGAGTACTTGCTCTTCTTGAGAACATGAGTTCTGTTCCCAGAAACCACGTGGTGGCTTACAACAGTCTGTAACTTCACTTTCAGGTGATCCATCAGCCCCATCTGCCATCCATGGGCATGTGGCATGCGCACACACACACACACACACACACACACACACACACACACACACACACACAGAGAGAGAGAGAGAGAGAGAGAGAGAGAGAGAGAGAGAGAGAGAATACATGAATAGAGGCAAAATACCCATACACACTAAAAAAATCTAAAATTGTGATCCCATCAATTAGAAAAAATTCATATATCTGTCAGTTACAAAGAATAGAGTGTATCTGTTTATATTGATCTATTGCTAATGAAGCTAATGAAGAAAAAATAGAAAATAGATAGCTAACCTTCTGAGTCAAATATCTAAATATCAAAGTTTAATGCATGTAAATGAATCAACAAAAAAGAATACTCATCAAACCAATCAAGATTACAATTGCCAAGGAATAAATAAAAATCTGTCTTCATTTATTTATATATTGTTTCATATATTGATGATGATATCCATTATAAAATGTGTGTATACCAAAGGTGCAAACCACAACCTAAGTAAACTTGAATTCTATGTATAGTTGCAACAAAACTTTATTTTCTTATTTATTTTAATTACTAATTGAGAGGACTGAGCAGATACCATAATAGGCTACTCACTCTTCTCTCAGAGATCAGGACTCAATTTCAGTTTCCTGAGACTGAACAAGCGGTTTATGAGAGAGCTACAAAGGACAATCAGTCTCTAACACCCGTGACAGGAAGGGTGAGGAAGCCTGGTACATGCAATACTGGGCCAGCCAGCCTCCACAGATAACCAAACAAGGACAAAGCCTGAGACTTGTCCATGTCTGTGCTCAAATGGAAAATTGTAGCTCTGACCAGCCTGTGACTAGCCCTGGCCAATAAGATAGAATGTACTAATATGATTGCCACTTGCTTAAGCCAATTATAGACAAAATGAGCTAACTGCCTTAGGACCTCCTCTTGACTGTGCTTAAAAGGAGCCTGTGAGCTCCTCTCAGAGTCTTCGCCATCTTACCTTTGTGTGAGATGGCAGTCCCCCACATACTGGAATAAAAACGTTCTTGTTGATTGTATATGTGGATGGTGGTCTTTTGTGGGACTTCTCCAGGACCCTAACACTCATTATCGTTTGGTTTGGACTAGTTTGCCTTTGACATGTTGAAAAAAAGGGAAATGTTTTAAATTAAAATTATGTTTATAATGATGTTTTTAATTTATCAAAGGGTTTCAGCTGGGTATGGTGGCACATGGCTTTAATCTCAACACTCCTGAAGCAAAGGCAAAGGAAGACAGATTTCTGAGTTTGAGGATAGCCTGTCTACATAGTTTGTTGTGGGCCAGTAAGGGCTACACAGTGAGACCTCACACCCCCTAAAAGATTGTGGCTTTCATATGTATTTGTAGTGTGGTATAACTGATATTTTCTGTACACAGTATCAGTTTATGAAACTGAACTAAGCTGGGACTCAGTAAGTGTAGATTTTAATGCTACTATCATGTGCTAATTTTGGAAAGTTCCTCACTTGTTTGATTATTCTCTTATCAATGAAGGAGCCCAGACAAGTGATCTCCAACATCTAATCATGTATGATCCTGTGGTTCTATGACAGTTTTTAAGAAAGGTACTTATGATGTTTTTGTCCACAGATTTCACATTTTTAAAATTCTTTCAAATTCAAGCATTTTGCAGGATAATAATTTATATTAGTATTTGGGGGAGAAATAGTCACCTTGATACAATTGTCCTTATCAAAAAGTGCCTGAGAAGTGTCCTCCCCAGAATGAAATACTGATAGATAATGTAAGCAGCTAGTGCAGTGAGAATAGAATAGTTGAGAAGTCAGGTATAAATTACATGGAAGGCCTTGAAAAAGCTATTGGAGGGATCAGAGCCTCATTATCTGCATCTGTACCATGCCACTCAAGCTATCTACTGTTATACTCCTCTATTTAGAGTAATAACTACCACTTACTGAGTCCCAACTCTATGACTGGCAATGCATCAAACATTTTATGCCATATCTAATTTAATTCTCACAATCAATCTCAGCTGCCAAGGAAAGCCAAGTTCCTATGTGGCTCACTCACTGCAAGAGAATACTGATCTATGATGGCTAGGCCTCTTAGGAATGATGGCAGATATTATCATGGAGTTCTTTCCCTGTGAAGTCTGAATACAGGGTTTGTTGCACTGTATCAGTGTTAGTGAGATATAATGTCCCTTTAGTGCCAAATAATGTTCCTTCAGAACAAAATCTCATTCTTCTTGTTTTCATTTGGAAATTCCAAGTTATGGGGTCACTAACAACATTGAAGAGTTAATATGAAACCACCTCTTAGCTTTTTTTTGTCCCTTGACTGATGATTATGTACTATTCTTTTTTGTAAGTCCTTCCCACTGCTTCTGCATGTTCTAACTGTTTGATAGTTGTCAGCCACAGGCATCTTCTTTACTCACTTCCTCCTCCTCATTTGCTCCTTCAAGGATACTGTTCATAGATCCATCACTCTATAGCAGAAATTCTTTCACGCAGTTTCCAAAAGTATAAAGAATTTTCAGTTGTGTCAAAGTTATCTTATAAGTGCAATGCCATTGGGATCACAAACATCGACAGGAATGTTTTGATTGAATGAAAAGAAATCATTTTCAATATATTCAGAAGATAAGATACATGAGTTCAGCCAAGAATTTAAAACAAAAGAAATGTGAGGAAAGTGGGAAAATGAAATAGAGGGAAAAGAAACACCATAAACTGTGATTCGAATTCAAATTTTAGGAAAGAGGCTTTATTAGTTAAAACATGTGAGTACTAATCACACTATACTCATAGCAAATATTTCTTTGTATAGCTACAAATAAGCCAGTTTTTACATTTCTTCTTGCCTATGATATGATAGCTTGGCAAGGTTTATATTTTCTCCAATTAGAGCATTAGAATTAAGACAGGCTTTTGATTGCCATCTCAAAATCTTTTTCCTCCCCTCTTGCTAAAGCCTGCTTTGAGTGGCAAGATGCTCCACTCCTGAAGCAGCAGCAGCTTCAGGATGGAAGGGATCATGCTGATAGCAACAAAAAAGAAGAAAAACTTGAACCTCAGGACATCATTAAAATGCTAGACCAACTCTGAGACCTCTCACTTCAGGGCTTTTTCTTTGACTGAAAGTGTATTTGTTCTTGAAGCCATTTTAGACAACTTTTCTGCTACTCACAGCTAAAACAATTTCTAATTAATAAATGGGATGGGTGTATAAATAAGCATTCTAAGCCAGGTGTCATAGTTCATGCTTGTAATCCCAATGGATTGTGGTGAGTCTGCAGCCATCCTGGTCTTCAGAGTGAGTTCCAGGCCAGCGCAGGCTACAGAGTGAGACCGTCTCCAAAGATGAGCAAATAAATGTACTGTATCTGAGCACAGTAGTCCACTCCTGTACTAATAGACAGGTATATTACTTTTCTGTTGCTGTGATAAAACACCATGACGAAGACAACCCACAAAAGAACCTTTCAATTGGGCTTATGGTTTTAGAGGACTAAGAGTGCACTATAGTGGGGCAGAGTGACAGCAAGCAGTAGACCTACTGGCTGGAACAGCAGAGAGTTCACATCTTGATCTGCATATATAGGAGGCAGACAAAATCATGATTCCTCAGTACCCACTCCTAGTGACACACCTCTCTGTCAAGGTCAAATTGCTTAATCCTCCCAAAGCAATTCCACCTATTTGGGACTAAACAGATAAGCCTAATGGGGGCCATTCTCTGTCAAACCACTGAAACATCATAACAAGTTTGTTTTTTTTTTTTTTTGGTTTTTCGAGACAGGGTTTCTCTGTGTAGC